TCCTGAGGCCTGGCCATTCCTGCCTCGGCCTCGTCCTCCTCCTTGCGGCCTCCCTCCAGCCGCAACAACAGCGTTGTCAGGCGGCCGCAAACCGGTCTGCCACCCGACATACGAGGAATTCGTCCCTCAAACAGACGTCCGGTTAGGATTTGTCGAGTACTCTTGTCGGAACCGTCGGAGGAAATAAAGGGTCGTTAGAGGAGCCCTGAATTACCCTGCGTTGGCCACAGGAAATAACCCATAGAATTAATGAGATGAACCGCTGCATCTACCATGCTTGGCGTCTGTTTGCCCCGAGGCTATTTCCAAAGCGGCCAGCTGTGGAACGAGGGGTAAGGTAGTAGGGCTTGGCGTGGTCCTCTTACGTTGACCAGTTAGTGGGGAAAGGAACCTTCAAATTTCATTGAATCTAATAACAAAAATAAAAAATGAATAAAAGAATTAAAAATGATAAAAGGGAAGGAAACAAATGATTATTTATTATTTAATAAAATTTTATCAAAACTATCCTTGATGAATTTTTAACCAGAAATTATTTATTTACCCGATATTTGTAAACCCTTGCTGGGTTTTGCCTGATTCATCTGATCATTACCCTCCCTATACCCCGGGTGTCGTTGAGTGAGCGGGATTGTTTTTCTGGTTACGACGGCTTGGTTGATTTGGTGCGGTCACTGATCTGCAATTGGTAAACCTACAATTTTTCAGTGCTATTATTTTGGGTACGACTAGTACGACTCGGGCCTTGTACTGGGGCAGCGTGTTGCAGCCTGTTCTTAACTTCTAGTTTCGGTACAGGCACAGTACTTGTGTTGTTTGGCACGACATATGGCCCGGGCGTTTGGTACCTTTGCTTTGGTACGACCCTCTTGGTACTCGGTATGGTATTTGTTGTTGGTCTGATACGGATGCTGGCTCGGCACCGTCACAGTTCTCCAGAATTTGAAACTATTATCCTTGGAGTAGTTACTGGGTTGGCACTAAAATGGTAACAATACAGCCCACTACAGTGCAGTGTTAAACAACTACGGTACAAGTTGCTGCAGTTCGTCGCTAATATTCTGAATGTGACTGCTCGTTCAGAGCTAGAATGGTCTCTGCGGGATGTTGTTAGCCCTTGGTACAGTATTGGGCGTGAGACACTGCAGGTCGAAGGTGCACCGGGCCTGAGGCTGAAAATTCGTTGTACCACAAGCACAGGCGGACCCAGGCCTCGACTACGGACGAATGCTGGCTGGTGAGGGCGGATGTTTTCCCCAGGGCAAATGCCGCAGCCCCTGACGCACTATAGGAGGGGCCAGCATTCAGATGACAGGAGTCATTCGGACTGGCGTGCTAGGTGTACCCCGTCCACATTGAAGGTGGTCCGAAACATGCCCGTTCGGAGGGCAGTCAACAGGAGAGTTGTGTGTGGAGTACACAGTGAGCGAGTGCGCGTTCTATCAAGCGGACGAGTGGCCAGGCAGGAAGGGCGGTGATTCGAACGTGCGGAAGTCGGGGCGTGTCGGGCGTACACAGTGGAGTGCTCTTCGGTCAGAGAGGAGAAAGGCTTGTCTCGATGCGCTCGGCGTATACAACGCTTTTCTCTTGGTTCAAAAAATCAGTGCGGTTGGTCTGAACTTGGACGATCGGTCATGGGAAGAGGCGGCGAGCGATGAGAGCAAACAAGGACAACGATATGGGAAGGAAACAGCCGGCGAGCCAGGGGATTGATAAGGGACCACATTGATGGGAACTGTGTACACGATGCGCGCTCAATAAGCCGTCAAATTTGCAGATCAGCCAATCAAATGTTCCCGCTGCTGGCGGGAGTGATCAAGTTCTGAGATCTGCCAATAGAGTATTTCGCTGCGGGTGGAAGTGGTCACGTTCTGAGATCTGCCAATAGAGTATTTCCCTGCGGGCGGAAGTCATCAGGTTCTGAGATCTGCCAATAGAGTATCCCGCTGCTGGTGGGAGTGATCAGGTTTTGTGATCCGCCAATCGAGTATCCCGCTGCTGGCGGGAGAGATCAGGTCCCGCGGTCGGCGAGCTATTCAAGTATTCCCGCTGTTGGCGGGAGCAGTCAGTTTTACTGGTTCGGTAATTAAGCATTCCGCGTGGTCGGCTATTCAAGTACTCCCGGTGCTGGCCACAGCAACCAAGTTTTACTGGTTCGGTAATTAAGCTTTCCGCGTGGTCGGCTATTCAAGTACTCCCGGTGCTAGCGGGAGCAACCAAGTTTTACTAGTTCGCTAATTGAGCATTCCGCTGGTTGGCTATTCAAGTATCCCCGCCGCTAGCGGGAGCGGCCAATATCATTAATTTGGCAATTGAGTACCCCGCTGGTGAAGTCAATCAGCATTTTCGCTGCTAGCTGGCAGTTGCTGGTGAGTCAATCAAGTATTTCCACTGCTATCTGGCAGTTGAGCACCCTGTTGGTGAACCAATCAAGTATTTCCGCTCCCGGCGGGGGCGACCAGCATCAATGATCGTGCAAACGAGCATGCAGCCGGCCGGCTGATCAGGTATTCCCGTTGTTGAACAAGCAGATAAACAGGTACGTGACACACCGATTGGTTATGAATGAGAAACGGCGAGGGTTTGGTCTGAGAAGGGTTGCCGATCTCGTAACGGAACAAGTTGCCTGAACTCAGATCCGAGGAGGGGAAGGGGAGATCTTCAGGAATACGGGGGAGATATACATGCAAGGGAGTGAGAGATGCCCGCAAGGGCCTGAGAGAGTCCTAATTTTCATTTCACTTTACCCGAATTCCCTGATAGCCTTATTCTTCAGCGAGGCCTGTCTGAATTTGAACTCGATTGGACACTTTTGAGCTTCACCCAGCAGGGTACGGTCGGCCAGCTAATGGATATAACCATCCTAGTCTCTTGTTGAGTGAGAAGCGTGAACAAGAGAGAGAGAGAGAGAGAATGTCTATGTAGGTATTTAATCAACTATTTCTACCAATCCGTTGTTGTTGGGTCGAGCTAGAGGAGTGTGACTTCTGACAGTGCGATCCAAAACTTGTGGGCTGCATTAGAGAAATGAGATGACTGCCCCGGTATGCGTCTCAACAGCCACTCTGAAAGTCTTTAGCCAAATTCCTCGCAGGGGGCCCTGCGTACGGGCAGTATTCAAGTGGATTTGGTTGTCGCTCTCCCTGAAAAGGCATAAATTGATTGATTACTCTCATAGAAGTAGGGTCAGAGGGGGAGCGACCCAGCATCTGATAACTGACAACCAATCGAAACTCATGAGTTCAGTGAAAGTCAACTCCGAGAACAGCGGGAGTGTGATTTGTCGGTTCGGCGCGACAATTTGATGATTCACATCTGGGGGGGGAACAACTCTCTGCGCCTGTGGCGGGCTGGCGTGCAAAAGGACACTTTCCTAAAAAGAGGCATTAGTTGGTACGTCATCACAGAATCTAAAACTCAGCGCTGAACCGTTCTTTACCGAATAATCTTTGTGTTTCTCCTCATGCATGTATTTTGTTTTATTCCGTTGCAAGAGGCCTTGATTTTCTTTGATTTTCTCTGCAAAAATCAAAGAAAATCAAAGTCCTTTGTAACCGTCACATTCCAGAATGAATCTGGTCATGGATGAATCTCCTCCTTTCTTGGACAGTAGGGACCTGTCAATTCCTACTGACGGCCAACTCACTCACTCCCTCTCTTTTTGTTTTATTCTCCCCCATTTTTCTTTTCTTTTCTCTCTTTTTTCTAGCATGCCAAGTGTCAAGTGGCCGTTAAGGCCCTTTTCTCATTTTTCTTTTTTTTCCTTTTCTTTTTCTTTTCTTTTCCCTCCACTTGTGGCTAGTTGGGACTTGGCCCCTACTTGCTGCAGTCCCAACTGATGGCCAACTCACTCATCCTCTCTCACCTCCCATTTTTCTTTTCCTCTCATTTTTCTTTTTCTTTTTCTTTTTCTTTTTTTGCATGCCAAGTGTCAACTAGCCGTTAAGGCCCTTTTCTTGCCTCTTCCTCTTAGTTTTGGCCCTTCCTATGCCCAAGGGGCCAGTCCGTTATTTTTCGGACTGCAGTTATGGCCCTTTCATGTCCTTGGGAGCTACCATTTGCCCCTATTTTTTCCAAACGGTAGGCCCCCATACTCCGATTTTTTCCCGGAGGGCTATTTTTCACATGGGGTCTTGTTTGACTCTATTTTCTTGAGGGAGGCTGATCCGAGATTTTTCGAATTGCTCCCATGCCTCCCACTTCAGTTTTCTTTACTTTTCCTTTTCCTTTTGGCCTTCCCGTTTGTCACCACTAGTACTTGCACTAGTGGTGTTAATATTCTTGACCGTCAGGATGTCGATCTTGACGGTGCATCTTGCATTTATTATTTTTCCCTCATGAGGTGCCGCCGTTTTCTTCTTGGTACTTTCACATGTCCCCGCTGCTTGTCCCGTCGGTGGTTCCCGACACTTAGTCCCGTCGGCGGTCCCCGACACTTAGTCCCATCGGCGGTCCCCGACACTTTTCGCCCCGGATGCCATTATTTTTACTTAGTCCCACGTGGCCAGGGCGCCTTTCCCCGAGGTGTCCCATGTCCCTTGGGCGTCTTGTCGCCCCATAGCAACCCCTCTCCTTAGTCTTTCCTTGCACCTTGTGCGTGCCGATCTCTTTGGTCGTGGGCCTCCGTTCTGGGGCTCCCGTAGGTGGCCCCCCACGTTGGTCCCTCATTTCCGGGTCTCCCGCGGCTTCTGGCCGCCCATCCCTCGACTTCCTCATTCCCTTATTGCTGTCGCGCTGCAATTGCTAGTTCAAAGGGGCCTTTGACCTTAGTCTTATTGCATTCCGATGACCCTCCCGACCTCTTGCTATGTTCTATGTGCCCTTGTTCTTGCGCTCGCTTGCTTGCCGCCGCTTAGTTCTTTCCCCCTGTGGTTCTCGCCCCAAGGCATTATTCCCTCCTGCAGCCTAAGCCTTTATCTCGTCTTACTTTGGATTTCTCTGTTGTGCACAGATCGTCCATATTCGGTCTCTCGAGTGATGGGAAGTTATTCGGGACTCACCAGTCCCGATACCGCTACCTTGCGGCCTCCCTCCTGCCGCGACAGCCGCATAGGACCTCCCCTGACCTACGCTATTGTCCTCCTCCTCGAGGCCCCACTCAATCCGACTATAAGGGACCTCGTCTGTACCACCTTCATCTAGAGTGAGGATCAAATGATCCTTCGCCCTGACTTGGCCAGAGATGGTACGGCCTTTCCACTTTTTGCCCTTATCTAAATCCTTGTGCCAAAAAGTGGTAACTGGCGTGGACCTGGCCTCAAACAAGACCACTTCCCTACTCAATGCGTCGTACGTGATATTGGGCTGCTGGGTCTTGTCAAAAAAGTGCCTTCGCAAGGGTTCTGACATGGCACGACAAAAGAGTTGGACCAATTGGGTCTTTGTGACTCCATGGTTCGGGACGGCTACCAAGTCGTCCATGACAGCTTTGAGTGCTCGCGCACTCTTCCACTGTCGCAAGTGGATGGTTTGGAGTTTATCGAAGGCCCCTCTTGTGACGTCAGCGAACCTCTCACGCAGGAGTTTGAGAAAAGTGGAGAGAGGGGTAAGCCAAGAATACGTGATCATATTATGTTCGCAGTCAGCAGCGCGAGCAAGGGACCTGGCGAAGCTAGCCACTTCGTCCTTCAATGCATGGAAGGCCACAAGGACTTGTTCCTCGGGGTCAATGTGCTGCAAATAAACATAAGTGTTCGCACTAGCCTCCCAATTATCAAAGCTTTCGTCCTTCTTCCCGCTGTAGGAATCAGGAAACTTGAGCTTTGCAGGCTCCTTGCGGGGACGTACAACGGCCTCGGCTGTGGCGACAACTTTGGCGCCCTCAATGGCGCCAACACAAAACTTCTCTGCGCCTTCCTTCATCTTTTTGACTTCTGTCCCGACATGGGTCACCATGTCGTGCACGAACTCCTTAAACCCACATCGGAAGGCATGCAGGGTTAAGTCTTGACCCTTAACGGCCTGATGCTCTTCTATCCAAGCCTTGGTTAAAACCTCTAGGTGTCCCAAAATTTTGTCTAACTTGGCAGGGACCTCAGTTTGTGCCTGCACCTCCTGTCTGCAGGCTTGAACCCTCTCTACTTCTTTCGCCACCCTGTTGGCCTCCTCCCTCCTCCTCTTCTTCTCCCTCATCATTCGCAGCTTCCACTCCAGTTTCTTTTCATCTTCTGTTGTCTGGCATTCCAGGGGGTCTTCTATCGCCCTCAATGGCGCCGACACAGAACTTCTCTGCGCCTTCCTTCATCTTTTTGACTTCAGTCCCGTCGTGGGTCACCACGTCTTGCACGAACTCCCTAAACCCAGATCGGATGGCCTGCAGGGTCAAGTCTTGACCCTTAACATCCTGATGCTCTTCTATCCAAGCCTTGCTTAAAACCTCTAGGTACCCCAAAATTTTGTCTAACTTGGCGGGGACCTCAGTTTGTGCTTGCACCTCCTGTCTACAGGCTCGAACCCTCTCTACTTCTTTCGCCACCCTTTTGGCCTCCTCTCTCCTCCTCTTCTTCTCCCTCATCATTCGCAACTTCCACTCCAGTTTCTTTTCATCTTCTGTTGTCTGGCATTCCAGGGGGGTCTTCTATCGCCTCCAACTCCCTGGCAACCACTTCTCTCTTCTCCTGCGCTACGTACAACTGTGCCTCCTCATCCTCCCCTAATGATAAATTAGCCACCCACTCTGTTATCTTCTTTTCCATCCACGCGTCTTCCCCCTTCGTGCCACTTGTCTCGCCTCTCTCCGCCCTGCGCCCTCTCTCAAGGGGTTCTTCGTCTTCTACTTCCTCCTCTTCTTCTTCTGCTGCTTCTTCCTCGGCAGCCTTCCTCTTCTCTTCCTCCTCCTGCTGCAACCTCAACATCTTCTCCTTCTGCAGCCTCATCACCTCCTCCTCTATGTTCTTCTTCTTCGCCGCCTGCTCCTCTGCGATTGCTTTCAATTTCACCTGTTTAAGGAGCTCTTTCTTCTCTTTCCTCCCCCTCAAAAGGGCGGCGATCCGGGCCTGCTCGGCCTCAGAGGGGGCAGTACTCTTCCCACTACGGGTGTCAACCATGGTGATAGGTGCACAACCAACCAGCGGTTCCACTCCTCACCACTTAGACTCGACTCCCCCTGACTGACAAACCTACTGACTCAATCTAAGGACTTACAGATTCCGGACAGGATCCTGTCAACTAGGATCTCTAGCCTAGACCAACTCTAAGGTTGTCAGACCTGTTGCTGATCAGGAGGCATTTAAGGAGATCCCCCGTAACTCCTCAGGACTTAGACGGCCTGTTGTGCAGCCCACAGCTCGAACTTTGGGCCTACCGTGCCACACCGAGCAGCCAGCCGGTCAGTACCGGTCCTTGGGAGGGTTCGTGTCCATCGGAACAGTCGAGTCATCAGACACAGACTTTAGCCCTACTCAGACCGTGTGGGTTTGGTCAACAAGGCCCTATCCTTCATCCACAGAGTTCCTATCACCTAGATAGAAGAGACTCAATGCAGAAAGAAGAGATAGACAGACTTGACTCAGCAAGTACCACAGGGTGTGTGCACATCCATAGGGCGGGGGGATAGGCTGAAGGCTTGGCGAGAATATACCGGCTCCTTGGTCAAACTCGTGGTCAACAGTCTTGGTCAACGCCGGGTCAACGCTGCAGTCAACCCCCGGTCAACTCCGGTCAACCCCAGTCAACTCTCCCGGTCAACGCCCACTCAGCTATGACTGTCGGCTTCTCCTTCCTCACCAACCTTCTCCTTCCTTCTCTCCACCTCGCCTCTTTCTTCTTCACCCTGACTGTCTTCTCTTTTCTCTTTTTTTTTTTTTTTTTTTT